TGTCTAAAATTTAAATAAATTTCCCAAAAATTATGAATGCCAATTAATAGCTGCTGATATACACATTTCATTGATGCTTTAAAAATTTTATATTTTATGTAATTTACAACAAAAACAAACTTCAGTATTGTACCTCACATCGAAAGTGATACATAAAATTTTACCGTTAGTGGCGACGTCTTGTCGACAAAAACTTGGTGCAATATGAGATAATTTTGACATTATTGCATTTACATTGTAAGAGTTTAAAAATGGGTCACCAAACAAATATTGAAGTGCGCGAATTAATCTTAAAGCATTATAAAAATGGTAAGTCAGCGTAAAATCGCGCAAAGATTGAAATTGAGCCAAGGAACTGTTCAGCATATTATTGAACGCAATGTTCATGAAAGTCGCGTTTTAAATAAATAACTAAAACAGCTCATAAGAAAATATTTAACGAAAGTGATTCCCGATGAATTGACGGAAGATACGCGAAAACCCCAACTTAAGTGCTCCTTCTTTAGGTAAAGAAGAGCCAAAATATCTTGGAAAAAGCTGTAACCCAGAACATGGCGGAGGGCATGCAATGGTATGGGGATGCATCTCGTCTTCTGGAGTAGGAAATTTGGATTTCATCAATAGTTCTATGAATAATATTGTGTGTTTGGACATTTTAAAAAGAAATGTGCTGCAAAGTGCCTGAAAATTAAATATTCGTGTCAAGTTTCAAGCTCCATCTTTAGATAAAGAAGTGGTAAAATATCTTGGAAAAAGCTATGACCCAGACACCATATGAAGAATCCAGAGAAGCTGATTTCAATGGCCGCACAGCTCAAAATAAACCATATGTTAGTGCTATAAATCAAAGTACAAGGCTGAAGTTTGCAAAGGACCATTTATATAAAGAAGAATGCTTCTGGAACACGCAATTTTCGCGGACGAAAGTAAATTCAACTTGTTTAGATCAGATGGAAAGAGCAACGTATGGATAAAACCAAATGCTACGTTACGACTGCAAAATTTACATATCAATGTAAAACATGGTGGAGGGCATGTAATGGTATGCGGATGCATGCCGTCTTCTAGACATGCATACTATGCATGACTGTTTATTTGAATCCGAAACACAAATCAGACGTTGTGCAAAGTTGATTGAAAATCTGTGGTCAGTTTTGGAGAGAGAGATTCGAAATAATGAGATTCGAAATCAAGCCGACTTAAATAAAGCCCTACAAACAGAATGGAACAATATTGCTCATGACTACACGAAGAAGTTGGTGAAATCCATGCCCAAACATATGAGCAGTCATAAACAGCAAGGGGAATCCTATTAAATATTGTTACGATTTTACTGAATCAACCTCGATTATTTTCTAGATCCTTCGGGTACGATCTCTGGATTGTTAAATAAAAACTCGCCAACTTAATTTGCAGTTTCTTTCGTTATAAAGATTCTATCTAATGTCCTTTATTTTCTCAGTAATTCACAATTCAATTATACTGCACTTTACTATTTATAATCACTAACATCAACTTTCACAATTTCCTCTACTTAAATGTAATTCCCAACGCGTTCACTTTACGTCTTCACTGATGTTAACGCCAACCAATTTGCTTTGTCACTGCTTGACTTTCAGCTGAGTGTCGCCTTTATATAGCAGTCGGCTGCTCGCAGACGAAAGCGTAGAAGCATCGAATTGTTCGCTATGGAAGGTTCTTGTTTTATCGTACTAGTTATCGGCTTCTCTCTTTCATCTGACATTCGCCTCGCATTTTCGCAACAATATTAATAAACATACAATTTTTGTTCTTTTTTCATTGAATAAAAAAAATTAAATTTATTAATATTTTGTTACGGCATCAAAGACAAACTTCACTATTAAATTGTGCCTTGCATTGAAAATGATGCAGTAACAAAATATTAATAAATTTCGTTTGTTTTTTATTTAAAGTTAATAGTGTTTTGTAACCGCTGAAGCGATTTTCCACTGACATCCTCCTCTATATGTGGTTTTGCTAATTCTCGAGGATGATTTTACTTTAACTTAAAGCTCTAGTGTAGGTTCTTAGTTCGATTATTTTCTGGTACCAAAGGATTCGTGTTATGGCAGAGACAGAGGTTGGGGATCAAGTGAGTGGCAATCGAGTACGAGTTGGGTTTGAATTTGTTTGATACAACCCTCAGAGTAACGCGAAGCGTAGCCAAAGCGCTTGAAAATCAAAGAGTCGGTTCGATTTTCACGCAAATTGATACTGGTATTCAGCATCCAGTAGACTTAGTCCCGACTGACTATTTTAATCGCTGTACAGCATAGATATTTGGAACAGCTGGGCAACAGACGCGACCATCGATCATAAGTCACGGAGGAGATTTAAGGCTAATTCAGGAAATTAGAGGGTGGTGGTAGAAAGCTTTAAACAATATAAGCAGAGCAATAAATGCCATTTTTCTAACAAACCAAATCCCAGAAAGCTGGAGTATAGTAAAAAATAGTACCCATTCCAAAAAAGACCTAACGAGGAAACGAAGAGAGCCTCAAATGATCGGAAGCCTTCTTGCAGGGTTGCGTACAGAAAAAATAAATCAGCCACAATGGCTGTTATCTTCTTACTGCATGAAATTGCAGTACTGAAAGACAATAGCTACAAAGTAGTGGTTTGCTCATTAAACATAAGTAACGCATATAATTGCGTTGACATAAAATCGTTACGTAGTATTCTTAGCACGTTAAGATTCGAAGAAATGGATTATGTTTTAATCTATTTAGCCCTCAGGAAACTAAAACGCAATAGCGTTACAAAAAATAAAATACCAACACACAGGAATCTGAAAATTTGCCGATGACTTTATAATTTACTCACGTGGGCAAAATTTTGAGATGGCAATTTAAATAAATATTTTCAACCAAGCCTGTCAAAAAGTAAATATAAAAGTAAATATAAATATAAAAAGTAAATATAAGTTTCAGAATAGCTAAAACTAATGTATGTTAGCAAAGGTAGCAAAAAACAAAGTTACTTTAAACAATACAAGTATAGCACAAGCCAACACTGTACAAATTTTAGGCATTTCAAGATTTAATATCAATCGAACATTACAACAAGGTTATTGTAAATTTCGAAAACAACTCGAAGCTTTTCATACTAATGACAACTATCAAAGCAAGACTAAGACCCAAGGCAGTAATCAACTTTTACAAAGTCTTTGTTAGATCCAAGATTGAGTACTGTCGAACTTCCACTGCTAACTGCTCTAAAACAGTTAACAAGAAAATCCGAACTTTCCAAACAGCTTCTTAAGCAGAGCATTAGGAGTCACAACATCTACACCAATCCCATTAATGTGCGTTTTAGCAAACGAACTACCACAACCAAATTGAGCAAACTGGCTGACAGCTAGAGAAATCTACTTCAACCTAGGAGTAATAGAACAAAATTCATCGCACTCAAACTTAGTAATAAAACAAAAACACTCCGATATAACAAAAACAGGACCCTTAAAAACATAATATTAATGATTTACCACAAATAAAACTTTTATTCGCGGACGCGTCAGTTTAGAACATGTATGCCGGATGCGAAATATATGACGACCTAACCAAGGAAGAATAATTTTACAAAATTAATATAAAAACATCAAGCAGGCCATCAAAATAGACATAGAAAAACAATATACAAAGATAATCATCTTCACAGATAATTTAATCTCATGTCAACTTCGAAACAAAATACATCGGCAAAGTTATTGATGCGCAAACAAAAGCAAACTGCGCATCTCCAAGGTTTGTGATGCTTTATTTTATCATAAATTCTTAACAACGGCCGACGTCGAAGAGCAAGTTTTTTGCGATAATTTATTTTTTAACATTATAGTACTTATTTTCTAAACCTGTTTTATATTTTGGCCATTTTAACGAAAAGCAACTTATTTGCACGAAAAACGTTCCAAAATGTCAGAGTTTGCAAAGTATTGTTGCAAGGCAAATTTATAAAATTCTCAAATTTAACGTGCGTTGAAAAATTTTATTAAAATATTTTGATTTAACATTAATTTAATATATATATGGCGCTTTATAACCGAATACACTCGGAGGGGTTGACATTCCCTGCGGAGGGGTGACCGCAATAAGAAAATTTAGTTTAATTTCTTTTTAAATTAACTTTCTATAATTTTTTATGTTGGGCGCACGGGGATTTAAACTCGAGCCTTCCGAATGGCAATGTTAACCACTCTGCCACCGCCAATAATTTAATAGTTAGTGGTATTTTAAAGGCTCATTTGTGTTTATTGCTTCCGAAACAGGTATGATTTGTAAAATATTTGGTTTATATAGCCTCCTTTTGCCTTTTAATATCCTTCAGCCTACGTGGCAGGGAAATTTAAATTTAATTTTCATCGATTCCACTACGACATACTTCTTCCAGGATTTTCCTAAAGTATGGAACAGTTTTTAGTTCTTTCCGCCGAATTTTTTGCTGCGTTCAGTAAAGAACCGTTTTCAATGGTATGCAGTAGGGGAATTCTCTGTCGTGTTATAATGATTTTCGATACTTTTATAATTTCGCTATTCTCAACATACTGTTGCGAAAATGCGAGGCGAATGTCAGATGAAAGAGAGAAGCCGATAACTAGTACATTCTAGAAACGATAAAACAAGAACCTTCCATAGCGAACAATTCGATGCTTCTACGCTTTCGTCTGCGAGCAGCCGACCGCTATATAAAGGCGACACTCAGCTGCAAGTCAAGTTAGTGATAAAGTAAACTCGTTGGCGTTAACATCAGTAAAGTCGTAAAGTAAACACGTTGGAGAGTACATTTAAGTAGAGTGAATTGTGCAAGTTGATGATAGTGATTGTAAATAGTAGAGTGTATTGTAATTGTATTGTGAATTACGGAGTAAATAAAAGACATTAGATAAAATCTTTATAACGAGAGAAACTGCAAATTGAATTGGCGAGTTTTTATTTAACAATCCAGAGATCGTACCCGAAGGATCTAGAAAATAATCGAGGTTGATTTAGTAAAATCGTAACAATACATTATAACTCTTTTAGGATCGCAAAGAAGACTTAGCGATAACTTTAACGGTATTCACCATTCTCTAAGCATGGTATACCGATTTTCGGATCACAAATAATATTTAGCGATAACGATATTTCAACGATTTTCGCTATCGCTGTAGGCATAAGCTACTCGACTAATCGCTAACTAAGCGACGAATATTTTTGAGTTGTTAGTTGTTGAAATAACAATATTTTGTCGATATATATTGTTATTTCATTAAGGATAAAGAAATTCCTTTGTCTAAGTTATACAAAAATTAAAATAAACAGAAAACAAAAATAGTTCTTCATTGGGTAGAAGTTTGCTTCGGTAAGTTGAAGATCGTTTCCGCTTGAATGCAACTGAGTTTCTCGATAGCCAACTAAAAGGCAGAAAATAACAACATTGTATACTGAGAAACAGGTAATAATATAACTTTTAAATATTTTTTCAGTTTGTACACTATTAAAATATTTGAAGGATCTAACTGCCTTGCGATACTTTGCAACTGGGAGCTTCCAACGTCCCGTCGGAGAGCAATAGTGAATACTTTATGCAAGTCGTCAGTAAGCGTGACAGAAGCAGTCAACCGTTTAATGTTTCCTGCGAAGGTTAGATTTCCCATGACTTCGCCACTTGTTGGAGGTACAATCGGGGCTATCGATTGCGAAGAAGCCTATGTCAACCTTCATGGACACCATTCTACCAAAGTGCAAATGTTGACAGTAAATTTTTTTCTATTGAAGTAACAAAGTTCATTTTATTTGTACATAGATATGTGATCTATTTCGCAAGTCTACGGCGGCGAATGCCAAGTACCCAAGAGCACCCTAACATGTTTTTGATTTGATAAACTTCGTAATGCATTAGTATTCATTGAATAATAATAATTTCTATAACGAATTTAATTGTTTTTGTCATTCCTCTTTGTGTTTTTCGCATACGTTTTGTTAAGCTGTGGTACCACCTTTTTTTTTTAATTAAAATGGGTAAGTGCGTTGTCGATTATCGTAAAAACTGAGTTAGAAAATCGCATTATCGTTAGCGCAAGTGACAAAATTCGAAAGTTTGCGACCCAACAAATGGTGTCGATAAAAGTTACAGAAATGCACTACAGGTCAGGACTGTGCCCAGGCCATTCTAGCGATTTTATTCCTAATTCGTCTATTATAATTTCAATGCGGCAGCGATATTTTACCATTTTCTGATACCTTATTTCTTTCAATTTAGTAATGAAATTTTTCAGAAAAATTTGCAATATTAACACATTATGTAGGTGAGATCCCTAACTTTGTGAATTCAAAGAAATTATTACTCATTGTAAGCCTTGAATCAATCTGACATCGATTTTGATGGACATAATTAATTGCGACGCTAGTAATGTCGCTGAGTGTAGGTATAAAGAAACGAATTAGCAGACTCAATAGCCTAAAAGGTCACAGATATCACTCACACACTAGACATAGGATTGACGACAAAGGTAGCTTTTAAAATAATTATGGCTAAAATACGTAACGAAAGCACAACAACGTTCAAGACTTTCTGTAAATAAACCAAAGCTTTACGCACAAATTTTCACAAAACCACAACCGCACACTTGGTTCGACAAATCTACACTCTCACCAACACAAACCAAACAAATAAACAGAATATTGACCGGCTTTGCATATGAGAAAGAATATCTCTTTAAAATAAAAGCTATCCACTCAAATACGACGCGGTCAAAAACATGAAACACGAATTTCTTTTTAGAAGTTTTACAAAATTTTACATTTTTTCAATCTATGAAAAAAAAACACACTTTATTTTTTTAAAAAATTATTAACCCTTTGAAAACCTAACTTAGAATTAATGGAAAGATGGTCCTTTGACCTTCTGTGATATACACTACACCTAACCATTCACTTTCCGAGGCATGAGCGGTATACACATAGGCCCACTTTCAAATCACGCTTAAGACAATAGCCAAACAAAAAAATCAGTCAAGCAATACCTTATAAAGGGAAAATTACCAGGAAAATATTCAGACACAACCAGTAGGCAATAGTCTACGATAAAAAAATAACATTAAAAAACTACAAAACAAATTAGTAATAAAAGCATCCAGTAGAAATCGTTCCGCAATCTAATCGAGCGTTCCGTGAACGTGTCGGCAGTCGTATGAAAGAGAACAGCTAATTCATAATTGCATTATTTTCTTGCAAAGATGAACATGAAAACTTTAACATACGTTCCGATGCGTTCACAGAACGCTCGAATTATAATTTAACACATTTTATTTAATCACATTTCGAGCACTGTTTCTAAGTTGAAGGCATACGTACAAATTCAAACATTTCGAAAGGAGTAGTTATTGTTGTTTTATGTATATCATCTTTAACCATTGGTATTTGATATTTTTGGTATTTGGCGAATTTGAGGAACTAGGTCAATTTGTAAGAATTTCGTTTTATCTTTTAACAGACCTATTCTCACTGTAACCGGTAAAGTATATTCTGTTACTTTTTTTAAACACCCGAAATTGAATTTGGTATTTAAGCTCACAGCGTACATTGTTTGGCAGCACTGCTTTTTTCGTCCTTGTCAAATTACATTTCCCATTTGGTACACACCAAAATGGACGGAGCACAAAAAAATAAGTAAGTTTTGTTTATTAAATCGTAAATAATGGAATCTAATTATGGAAAATACGCCAGGACCACAAAGGCGCAAATGAAATGATATGTAAAATTCATACAAAATAATCCACAGAAACTAAGCGCGAAGAGCACGTCAAATGATTCCAAGGCTCAGTAAAGATTGTGGGGCGAAATGGCACTTAATTTAAAGTTACTTTATGGGCCGAATAAAACTGCCGCAAAATGTTTATATTATCAAAAATAGAAGTTTTGCATTGTAGACTTTGAGCAATTGGAAGAAACAGCTCCGCGCTCGGGCTCGCAAATTAAAAGCAGAACGCTTGCGCACTGGTGAAGGGTTGTTTACAAGCGAAGAATTACCTGAGTTTGAAGAACAAGCTCTTTCTGCATTAAATAAATCATCTTTCATTTGTGGATTATACACAAACATTCAAGTTTCTGCTTGCTAAGGCAGAAAGATATCATATTATACATATCTTCTTCATTGTATATGTATATGTATATAGCCATGCCTGAATATATGTATGTAATAAAATAAAAAAAAAAAAAGTTTTTTAATGCTTGCTTTATTCACTTCTTCACAAATCAATAAAAAAACTATAAAAACTAAATCACACACATCAATTGTGCACGAATCCGTTCGGCCTCTCCAAAGATTCGAGGTCGTATATAATTTCGTCTATCTAGGGACAAGTATCTTTAGACTGAGTAGGCAATTGCAGCCAATAGAACGATGAGCTGTACACGATATACGGCGACCATGACAAAGTGCAGGGAATGAAGAAACAGTGGCTACGCCGGCTAGGTCATGTGGTTCGGATAGATAAAAATACTACAACTTTGAAAATTTTCGATGCAGTACCAGCCGGTGGAAGCAGTAGAGAAATACCATCCAGTTGAAAAGACCTGATCGAAGAGAACCTGGCTGTATCTCATATTTCGATTTGGTGCCAAACAGCGAATAGGAGAAACAAATAGCGGAATGTTGTTAACTCGTTTATAATCGCATAAGCGATGTCTACTCCAGTAAAGTAACAAAGTACTTGGCTATGTTCAGAGCGGAGAACTCTCAATCAGATCGATCATCTTCTGATAAACGGAAGACATGTATCTAGTGCTTCAGATGTGCGTACGTTCTGAGATCCTAATAACGACTCGCAGCCAAGATACGCACCCGCCTCTGTTTATCGAAGAACGTCCTTCAAGGCAACAAACACAATTAAGGTTCGCCGACAAAAATTTGCAATCACAACAAACAGCCGAATGGTTTTCTACTCGGCTTGCAAACCTGCTTTCCGAGAGCACTCCTCAGCAACTTGATAAAAAAAACAATCTTGCGCTCCCTGGGATAGATATCGAAAGCTGAAGATGGAAGCAACACACGGTTGCAGAAAACAAAAGAAGAAGCCGAATAACTATAGCATGAACACCTTGGGAAGTTATCCGACATGGGTAATGTTAGAAAATTCTACCAAGAGATACGGCGGCTTTCGGAAGGTTTCAAGACAGGGGTATACCCTTGTAGGTCCCAGAGAGATGATCTAGTGACGGTTACCCAGAGTATATTCAATTTATGGAGGGAACACTTCTCCAGCCTGCTGAACGGCACTGAAAATGGAGCATACGGAGGTAGTGAGAACGAGACCCCAATAGATGACGATGGAAAAAAAGGTTCTATTACCCGTACATTAAGAAGTTTGCCCGCTTCAAAAACAAACAAGACGATGAAGAACTGACTTTGAAAACTATATTCGAGTGAAAGCATACCCGACAATGACCCAAGACAGCCGTTTCTACGCACCGGAGTTTTATCTGGCCAAGGGCCGTCGCGGAGCAACACCTCGCAGCTGGGCTGCTCCAAATCATTCTCATCAGAGCTGGCGTTGAAACCAACTCTGGTCCGGATTATATCTGCTGCGTGTGCCAGAAAAGACTCCGCGACTATGGTTCAGTGCAACCAGTGCAATGGTTAGTCATTTTAAGGCCTGCTCAGGACTAAAGGCCCACAGGGAATGTACCACAGGTTTTAGCGGCTCCATGGTGCTATCGCCAAAGTGCGCCCAACCTCCACGGCATTGCCTTCAGCACCTTTACCCGCTTTGAATAACCAACAGACCTCTACGGTCTCCCGGAGCTCCGCGCAGCATAACACCCACCATAATGAGGGCTTAGCAACAACACCGTGCAGTATCGTCTTATAGAGGACCTCATCAACCGCAGGGATACTACCATAAAATGTCAGATATTTAAAATATACATTCCGACCGTTAGAAGTTGCCCGGTAGGATACAGCTGCGATATAGGTGCGCTACTCGGAGGAAAAGACGTTCCATTACCTGACCATGGAGAAGTTCGAATCGCTCGCTTAAAAAACAACAAGGCGACGGGAGCTGACGGCCTACCGGCAGAACTATTCAAATATGGCAGTGAAGGGCTGATAAGGTGCATGTATCAGCTGCTTTGCAGAATATGCGCGGACGAAAGTATGCCCGACGATTGGAATTTTAGTGTGCTCTGCCCAATTTATAAAAGAGGGGACCCCACAGTCTGTGCCAATTACTGTGGAATAAGTCTTCTTAGTATCGCCTATAAGGTCATGTCGAGCGTATTGTGTGAAAGACTGAAGCCCACCGTCAACAAACTGATTGGACCTTATCAGTGTGGCTTCAGACCTGGAAAGTCAACCATTGAGCAACTTGATTGCTGGAGAAAATAATAAGAGCTGCAGAGCTGAATAGAGAAGGTACTTTCTTCTATAAGAGTGTACAACTACTGGCGTACGCCGATGATATTGACATTATCTACCGCAACAAGCGCGCCGTTAGTACTGCTTTCTTCAGGCTTGACAAGGAAGCGAGGCGAATGGGTCTGGTGGTGAACGAGGACAAGACGAAACATCTCCTGTCATCAAACAAACAGTCAGCGCATTCGCGACTTGGCAACCACGTCACTGTTGACAGTCACAATTTTGAAGTCGTAGATAATTTCGTCTACCTAGAAACCAGCATCAACAGCAACAATAATGTCAGTCTTGAAATCCAACTCAGAATCACTTTTGAAAACAGATGCTACTTTGGACTGAGTAGGCAATTGAAAAGTAAAGTCCTCTCTCGGCGACGAAAACCAAACTCTACAAGTCCCTGATCGCTCCCGTTCTGCCATATGGTGCGGAAGCATGGACGATTACCCCTGCGGGTTAAGTCGTAAGAGGCGACTAAAATCCAATAGTTCCCGCGACAGTCAGGTCTTTATACCGGAACGACATCGAT